AAATATATACAGAAACAATGAACAAATTAAAGCAATGGTTACATGATGCGATCATGTTGATTACAATGCAAGGAAAATGTAGCAGTTTTGTATGTTTGTTCAGAGTCAGCTTCATCTGAAGTCCTCTCAAGGGTTGGCGTCATCTCTTCACAGGTGTTGGGTCAGCTGAAGTCTTCGTAAGAGGCTGGATATAGTTCACACCAACAAAATGTGATGTAATCATACTAGGGAACTGTCACCTTTTCACAAAGACACAAAGAACAAGGAAAGACTTGCCAAAACCAGTGAAGAGACTCATTGTGAGGGTGATGATGCTGCATCTCTATGGCGCTGATAGTATTAACGCTAACTTCCGGGAACTATTGAGCGGCTCCACGATCCGCCATTGCTGTAAAAAACTGGTCCATTGGAGTGAACGGAGTTGTCACAACTCTCTCTCTCTACGGCTCTGGTCTAGCCTACCACAAATCTCAAAAGACAGGTGGCGGTAGTGTACCAGGAAGCTAGATGCCAACGGCCGTAGAAGAATCATTTGAACGCACTTATGTAACAGGCATAAAAGATATTACGGAGTTCACTGCGTGAAAACAATACCGCTCATCTCATGCGACGTTTAATTTGGATAATATATGATGTTGCTTTCTTTTCATTTATAACTGCCAACTGCTAGCGATTGAACCCTTTATGAAATCCTTAACTGCGCCATTGCTGTAAAAAACTGGTCCATTGGAGTGAACGGAGTTGTCACAACTCTCTCTCTCTACGGCTCTGGTCTAGCCTACCACAAATCTCAAAAGACAGGTGGCGGTAGTGTACCAGGAAGCTAGATGCCAACGGCCGTAGAAGAATCATTTGAACGCACTTATTTAACAGGCATAAAAGATATTACGGAGTTCACTGCGTGAAAACAATACCGCTCATCTCATGCGACGTTTAATTTGGATAATATATGATGTTGCTTTCTTTTCATTTATAACTGCCAACTGCTAGCGATTGAACCCTTTATGAAAATGTTCCTTAACTGCATTAGAAGGCGTCTCCAGTTTTTAGGCGAAAAGCTGCCTCGGTATCAGCGGAATATATCTAGGTACAATACTCGTGATGACAGCTGTGACAAAACCAGCCTTCTAATGCAACTTTGCGCTGACCGTTATTACATTTCTCCTGAAGCTTTCCACACTAGAACCTGTACATATGGGCCTTTAGGAACAGAACTGAAGAAAAACATTATTGAACAGTGGACTTCAGCAGTACGTTCAAGAGCATATGTGTTTGGGATCACTACTTCAGTGCAAAGTAGAATGTGTGAGGAATCCGTCAGGATTGTTAATGTAGGGGCTCTTCAAGAAATCATCAACCAAGACAGTTTAAGTAAAAAAGAAGCATCTCAAAAGATTCAAACACTTATGAAAGACAGTGTGTCTGTTCGGACGAGTCTCCTGCAGGGTGAGTGCAGACCATTCGCCGCTATTCATTTGTTTATAGTTACAGTACGCATACCATGTGCATGCGACGGCTCTGAACATCTGGGAATTTTATTTAATTTTATTTATTTATTTTTGTCCCTCAAGGTGCTTTGCAGCAGTATATTCAGGCTTTGGAGCTTGTGAATAGGACATTGCCCTTTGGATTGGCAGAGACAGGTCTGTGCCATCATTCTGATAGTCAGCTTAGACATTCATCTGGTTGGTGAGTCTTTTGTTTTATCAGCTGTGTTATATTAATGAGTTGACTTTTTTACTGGACCCAATCTAATGTCCAAGATGAAATAATGTAAATTAGTAATTACCTAATTGTTTTGCCTCTCATTTGACTGAAAATGTAAATTTTCATTAATCTCCATTAGCTCATTTGAGGTAACTGAGTCATCTTTAGTCTGGTTCTGTTCCCCTCGGACTTCTTCACAGTGGATGGACTACTGGGCTCATCAAAGACTGCAGTGGTGGAGGAAGGTATGGCAGCACGAACAAGGGTGAAACGGGCACTGACAACTAGAGTGCCATGCCACTAACCCATTAGCGGTATTAACATTAAGTGACATGGCATCTGACGCATGGAAGCCATTGGCACATGCCACTATGCTCAGCGGCACATCCAGTGACACTTCCGGGTTTTCACTGACATGTGTCAGTGCAGTGTGGCATGTGCCACTGACATTGTCACGGAACATCACCAGATGTTGAGGCAGTGATGCTGCTGTCAGCTGGAGTGTAACGCTAGTTTCTGTTCGGTTGCATTCCGGTTTCTGTCAAGCATATTAAATACATCGCGGCATTAATTTGTATAACAACTTAGGCTTCTTCATGTGTTAATTTTTGTCTTGTGTCCCTTTGTTTGCCTGAATGTTTTGTCAAGTAGCCCGTTTGAAAAAAAAAAAGTCACATAGTTATAAAATGGTCTCATTTCTTATTGCATAATTCATAAAATTATTTTTGAAATATTAAAGCCATAGATTGCGCTGGCCAATGTTTTATTGATGATGCTGCATGCATGCAGGTAGGTGTCAGTACCTAAATCAATAGCACTGGTATTACACAACATTCAGTGGCACATGCCACTCAAATAGCCTACAACATGTTTGGAAAAAAAAAAACCGACTTGTAAATACGTGTACTGCCGCAACATATGGTGACATGTTCCACGACAATGCCAGTGACACTGACACAATTCAGGCTTATTAAAAAAAAAAACATAACTTATAAAGTCATTATAAGTGTTACAGCAAGTAGGAAAAAAATCGTACAAATTCATGTGATGACCTTTTATAGTGTAGTCTGATAAACTTTTGTGTATAACTTGTGAAATTGACTGTTATAGATCTGCTGTAAGAACTGAACATGTATGCAGCAAAATATAACACATTTTAGAACTAACGAACTGTTACAGCTATAATGTAATAACCGTCTGTTTCAAGTTAAGATATAAATTTGAACAAAATATAGATAACCATCATAATAAACAAATGAATCTAGACAATAGCAAATTGACTAAAAACATGCCAAGGTCCAAGCCCAACATAGCCAGCTGCCCACTAAATTCATCCTGTGTAGGGTTCTTTTTAGATTTTGATATTGCAGTGCAAACTGGTTGTTGACATCCTGATCCAATCCAAATCATTAACCACTTCAGACTTTATGGCCAACAAAAAAAGTGATAGTCTTTTTTTTTTAGTCATTTGTCCTCCGCTCATTCGACTCACATTTAATTAACTTTATTATTTTTCAGATATTTTACTGCCTTTAAAGAAAGACAAGTATGTCTTTTCAGAAACAGGTGCTACCTTTTTACTTTTACTCAAGTAGTTTGGTACTTTTACTTGAGTATATTTTTTAAGGAATCTTTCCAACCTTGAGAAGGTGAATGAGCAATAGGTTGCACTACATTGGATTTGGATAAAGGTATAGTTGACCCAAAAATACTTAAAGGTGGGGTAAGCGATTTCTGGTAGCCAATGTTGACATTTGAAATCACCAAA